CGCGATAAGTGCGACGAAAAAAATCGGCCGTTTTGATCTTAGCAATCCACAGTACCCAAGGGGGAAACGGCCGACTGCGATCGTAATCTGCAAATCGACGAGCCGCTTCCACGGCCACCTCTTGCAGGACGTCGTCGGCATCGCAAGGCTGCGGCAGCGCAGCAAGGAGAAACCCTTTCACGACAGGTTCGGCCTGGGGCCATAACTCTGAGAGGGGCTTTTCTTCAGTCTCCGACGAGTCGGACGGCGGCTGGATTTCGCTCTCCATCTCGGCAACTAGGCTTCGGCTCATGGGCGACGATTCGATCTGCGGGACCGTTAAACGACGAGACGATAGGTAATTCGATTTTCTATCGTCGCACTCTCTATGTTGAACGACTAGGGGTTTACGTTAACAACAAAATTGACATTTGGCAGAACAGAAGCGGAAATCCGCGGAATCAGGTCCTCAATTGTGAGGATTCGATGAATTCAATTTTCCACAGTTAACGAGCGGCCGTTTTACGCGACAAGTCTTGCGAGCCCGACTCGGTCTGGGTTTCAAAAGTTTTTTCTTCAATTTATGTTTCGCCTCGAAACCCCATGGAGACGCCAGCGGACGGTTGGCACAGTCAAATGAAAAGCAACCAAAAAGGCTTTACTCTCGTCGAACTGCTNNTTGGCGTGCTGATTGCCCTGCTACTTCCGGCCGTACAACAGGGCCGGGAAGCGGCTCGCCGCATGTCGTGCAACAACAACTTGAAGCAGTTGGCGTTGGCGATGCACATGTATCATGACACGCACAACAAGTTCCCCGCTGGTCACGAGTATTACCCTCCCGGCACATTACAGCGATGGTGCTGGGCTCACGCGTTGTTTCCTTACGTCGAACAAAAAGCTTTGTATGACGAAATCCGTACGCTCAACCCAACGTACATGATGGATGTTCCGGCAAGCTTGAAGGACACTCCAATTTCTGCGTATGTCTGCCCTTCCAACATTGGCGATGCGATGGGCGGCAATGGATCTTCCAGCGGTAACGCGTACCGACCTACTTCGGACCCAGGTTTCGGTTTTAAATCGAGCTATGTCGCTTGTGCTGGAAGCAATAACTTGGATCGCGACGTCGAACTGAACGGCATGTTCTGCTGGAACAAGTATGCCGACATGTCCTCGGTGAAAGATGGTACCAGCAACACGCTTTTGCTTTCCGAATGTGCGGCGCGCGTTCAAGAGGATACCGGCTGGGGTGGCTCTGGTTCGATCTGGGGCGGTGCGACATTCGGCGGCTATGGCTTCAGCACTGAATATGGCCCTAACACGACCGTTTCAGATCAGTCTTATCAAGCGATCGGCAGCACACCCAAGTACCCTATCGTTGCCGTTGGATCAAGCTACGACGAACTGCGTCACTTTGCTCGCAGCTATCACCCCGGCGGCGTCAATGCCGCCTCGGCAGATGGAAGTGTGCGTTTCTTCTCCGATACGATCGA